TCAGCACTGGGGTAAGTCAGCACTGGGGTAAATCAGCACTGGGGTAAGTCAGCACTGGGGTAAGTCAGCACTGGGTAAGTCAGCACTGGGGTAAGTCAGCGCCTCCTACTGTCCGTCAGTGAGAGTGCAGTGACTCTGTGCCTTGCCTTCTCCCCTGCCTGGTTCACAACTTTTTTGTCTTAGAGTTGCTCCTCCATTCCTACCCAGTAGCCGTTGCTCCCCAGAATCCAGGAGAGAAACTGTCGTTGTCCTGTGAGAGAGGTGACGGGTGGTAGGACCCAAAGGCAGCCCTGGCGGCAGATCCCAGGGGTGAGCCCGGTTGACCTCACGTCTCCACCTGTGACCTGGAGGGTGCATGGTGAATTAAGCCCACCTCACAAGGTCGCGGGGAGAAGGTGGCAGGTTCCAGTAGAGGTGTGCGGCAGACTCCAGCTCTTCGTGGGCCCACACTCCTCTTCTCCCTGGCACCCTCTCCACAGGGAGGCCCGGGGGGTCTGGAGACCCTCCGTGGGGCCACACCTGTTGCCCTTCCTCTGCCCCCTCACAGCAGCGAGTGTCCCTTTGGGTTGAGTCTCCTCCCCTGCCGTGTGTACCGAGGAGTTCTTACCGACCCAGGGGACATGGCTGAAGTCACAATGACACCAGGGGCACGTGACACTTTCATAGTCCTCCGCCTCTCAGGCCTCCACCTTCAGAGCACAAGTGGATGACTCTTGGCTGAAGGGTCTTGGAGGACCAGCCGTCCTGGGGGGAGCCGTGGACCAGCAGCAGAGCGGCCAGGCAGCTGCCGGCCACTGCCAGGGTCTCTTGGTGGACGGTCTGGGTGCCAGTGGGCACCTCGCTGCGAGGCCAGCTGCTCTCGGATGAAGTGCTCCTGACACCCCAGGGCTGGGCCAGCACCTGCCTCTTCGTTTGAGGCCCTTCCTGTTTGAAGACCTTCTCTGGGCGTGGAAGGGTGCTCCCCCAGGGACATTCTGGCCGCCTTTGCTCTGTCTGAGCACTTGCCCGGGTTTGGGATGCATACTGGACCATTTCTGAACTTCCCAAGGCAGGCTCTGTTCAGAGGAGCTCACCTGGCCCTTCTGAGGGCTGCGTCCAGATGCGGGTCTATCTCAGTCTTGGTCCTGGGAGGGTAAGAAAGGAAGGAGGGAGGGAGGGAGGGAGGGAG